CCTAAAAATTTATTTTTAGATGAGTTATTTGTCATCCGTTCTACACCAGAAAATCGAAAATTTGACCGAAGACGTCATCTGTAACGTGTTGGAAAAGCTGCCTTTTTAAGGTCTTTTACACTGCCTTTGTGTTGGAAGAGTTGCCTTTTTTATCGTATATTCTATTATTAGTTTTTCACATGCAACTAAATTGAACTAGTTCAACGTTTTTGCCGAATACTGCGGACTGGTTCGCTAAAGCACGTGCTCTGCGATGACTTGGCTGGAATGTGCTTTGTAGTTTACGCTGTAAAGTGTGTCAGCGGTTAGGTTTTGTTGTTTTGAAATCCCTTTGGGTTGTATACATGAGCGCGTCTATACACGGCAGTAGGGCTCCGACCCGTTGCCGTCGCTGACGGGTACGGGTGCCGTCGCGACGGGACGGGACCCGGCCGACAACCCATCTGGACCTGTTTTCTGACGGCCGGGTAGAGGACGGCTGGACCCGGCAACGGGTGACCCGACAACGGCCGTCGACGGCTCGCCGGGTCGCCAAGATTGCAGCGCTTTAGGCGCCGCAGCACGGGTGAGCGGAAGCTTGGAAGTAGGCTAGCACGCGGTAACTGGAGCAATCAACTACGCCGCTCAAACTCGAACGCCGCGTCCGGTTCAGCCACCCCCTGAACCCCGAACCTGAACCTGCGTTCAGGGGGTTCGGTTCAAGCGGCTTGAGGCGTGAACGCGAACCTGAACGCGGCGTTCGGTTCAGGGGCTGGCCGAACCTGAATTTCCATGCAGTGCATTCCTCGCTTGTTCTGTGCCATTTAACTAGGTTGTTCCACAAATCCAGCGACACCCCCGCCCGCTTCGGAAGAAACAATGTTGGATTCATTTGGTTCCCCAGTCAAGTTCAATGTGTTTGCGCGGTACGGCGGCTCGGCGAAGGCGTCCCCCGCCTCTCAAAACGAGCTCGATGACTACTTCCAACTTACCAGTATCGCCGAGCCCTGGGAAGATACCGACCCGCTTCATTGGTGGTACACCCGGCGCCACAAATTTCCCAATTTGTATCTCCTTGCGCGCGACATTGAGGATTTTCTGTCCGCTTTTCACACACTCTGTATGCTGATATATGTCGTCGCAGGATCTGCAGTCGCGGTTGAGCGTGTTTTTTTCCGGAGGACGGGATACAATCGGGTTTCGTCGAGCGAGCTTGAAGGCTGAAACGATTGAAATGTTGATGTTCGTGAAAGCACGACTGCGTCTGGCGCGGGAGAAGCTGCTCGTTGATTCTCTTTAATCATAGTTCATTGACTTAAAATATAATATTCGTGGCTAAATACCACCCGTCGACGGCCGTAACGGCTCTGACGGCCGGCACCCGGCCGTCAACGCCTCTGGGCTCCCGCGCTGACGGCCGGGTTGACCCACCCGTCGTAGTAAAACGGCCGTTTTCCACCCGGCCGTCTGACGGGCCGGCCGGGTGGGAGCCCTACACGGCAGACAAAGGTTTGTCCTTTTCAGTTTTGGCACAGCTTGTCCTTTGACACGCCTCGCCGATGTCCTTTTACTAAATCCGGCCGCTTTGGTTTTCGGGCTTCCCCGCGGCCATGCTGCAGCCACGCGTTCTCGGGGTTTGCCGGGGTTCAGCTGATCCCAATAATGATTCTTGCCTCTGGTGTTGAGCTCACATTTGAATATTCGTGGAATCGGCTGGCATTACACAAATGAGCATAGTGTACAAAGTTACCCAGAAAGTGTGACTTGTAAAATCCAAAATCAGAGCAAAAACATGTCCCGAACACGCACAAGTCACTGTTCTGTGCAACGTAATGAACCAGTTCAAGCAGAACTTGGTTGAAGGCCATTAAACCCGCTATTCTTGATCCCTGATATTTTTTTGGAATCAAATAACCAGCGGAATGACTGGTTTCCTACGGCGTCACCATGGTTGTGACAGCGCGGAACTCCCCGGCGGCACCCGGCACGATTTCAACCGTCACACTTGACCTAATCTGGGTCCACAGCAGGCACTCTGGTCCCCATTTCATGGAGGAGAAAAAATGAAAATAACTGGGTAGCAAGACAGAACACCCTCCACCATGTCTCCTACAAATGCACTGATTGAATGAAGGTGAAAACTCCATTTCTAGCGCTCGGGGCGTGTTCTCAACCATATCTTGCATAGTCTTCCTCATCCCACTCTCTGAGACTTGTGCTTCAACCTCCTGCACAAATGCCCTGCCACATCTGGGACTATTTGAAGGTGAAATGGCCCCAAGAGCAGGAAATCATTATTGGGATCAGTTGAACCCCGGCAAACCCCGAAAACGCATGTGGTCGCGGCGAAGCCCGAAAGGCCAAAGTGGCTGGATTTAGTAAAAGGACATCGGCGAGGCGTGTCAAAGGACAAGCTGCGCCAAACATGCAAAGGACAAAGGCTTGTCCGCCGTGTCTTGCCTCTTGTGTTGAGCTCACGTTCGAATATTCTTGGAAATGGCTGGCACTACACAAATGAGCATAGTGTACAAAGTTACCAGGAAATTGTGACTTGTAAAATCCAAAATCAGAGCAAAAAGATGTCCCGAACACGCACAAGTCACTGTTGTGTGAAATGCAATGAACCGATTCAAGCAGAACTTGGTTGAAGGTCATTGCACCCATTATTTTTTATCCCTGATTTTTTTTTGGAACCAAATGACTAGCAGAATGACTGGTTTCCTACAGCGTCACAATGGTTGTGACAGCGCGGAACTCCCCGGCGGCACCCGGCACGATTTCTACTGTCACACCTGATCTGGGTCTACAGCAGGCATCATTTCAGGGAGGAAAAAAAATTAAAATGATTGGTAGCAACACAGAACACCCTCCACCACGTCTCCCACAAATTCACTACTTGAATGAAGGTGAAAATTCCATTTTTAACACTCGAGGCATGTCCTCAACTTGTCCTCAACCACATCTTGCATTGTCTTCCCTATCCCGCTCTCTGGGCCTTGTACTTCAACCTCCCCCACAGATTCCCTGCCATATCTGGGAATATTTGAGGGTGAAATGAGCGCAAGAGCAGGAAATCATTATTGGGATCAGTTGAACCCCGGCAAACCCCGAGAACGCGTGGCCGCAGCGTGGTCGCGGCAAAGCCCGAAAGGCCAAAGCGGCCGGAGTTAGGAAAAGGACGTGGTCGAGCCGTGCACGAGGACGCACTATCCCAGTTTGGAAAAGGACAAGGGATTGTCCGCCGTGATATGCTCTATGGATTCTGGAAAAAATTGCTGATCGGGCCTGGCCGGGCTTGGGCTTCAGCGGGCCCGGCCTGGCGGGCTTCGGGCTTGACGCCGGGCCCTGAGCATCACTAGTTCAAATGTCTTGTGATGTCGACGATCTTTTATTTTCATTGCCAATCTCAGATTTTCATTTTGATTCTTCCACTCACCGACACAGCTGAATTTATCATGTCGACTGCATTGCGGCAAAATCGGTCTCACTGGTGCGTGGTTGCAATATTTTCATTTTCATTTTCATTGTCATCCGGAGTTGCACATCTTCGCTTCCTTCTGAAAGTGACCTTTTCCCCTAGCTAGAATTGAGTTCCTTGTAGTACAGTGGTAAGTAGATAGCATTAGAATGGTAGTGGAAAATTATGTTGCACCCTACTACAATAATAGCAGTGGAAATTTAATTCTACTAGCTGAGGTCACTGGTACAATAGTTGTATATTTTTTCCTTCTCGATGTACCACATGATGTACACCCTCGACATTCTGTTTCTTCACTCCTCAGAAAGAACACCTTTATTCCGGAGGATCTAGCCGACTTTTTTGCGTGATTTCGCTGTTCACCGCCGGGTGGATTGTAAATTCTAACTTACCCAAGAACCTTGAGATAGCAATTGAACTTTGAAAATTTGGGACTTTGTGTGTTGGAAGCCGAAAACGAGAGATGGCGAGCTTCGTAATTTCGCTGAATATCTGTCTACGGCTCAACATCCTCGTCTTCACATGTAGGACATCTGCTTCCGAAACCTTGGTGTTTGTAGTGACAAACAACATGGCTAGGCTCTCTCCTGATTTTTGTGTGTATTTGGGAACCAAACACTCCATGACTGCAAACTCCACAACTCCATCGGCAGGCGCGGCACCCGAATCGGAGTTTGATTGAACTGATTGACAGCTCTGCCAAACATTGGAACGAGTGCGAATCTCTTGCTTAACGAAGTTCTCTGGCCAATGGCATTATTTCTCCTCTAGTTTAATTACACCGGCACTTTGCTGTGGCAATTTCGCTTGAATCACTGCAGAGTTCTGAAAACGATCAACGGTCATCAAGCCGCGCTGCCAGGAATTTAGATTCTTTTGCTTACTGGTCATATTATATGTCACTTGTGTGCCCACTGGCCGAACGGCGCGGTCTGGCTGCACCAGGGCCTATCCATTTATCATTTTCCTCTCCGAGTCACCGCTCAATTTTTAAGAAAATATTTGTTGACTTTTGATGTTTCCTCAACTAACCCTAACTAAGGGGAATGATACAACAATGAATATATATAGGCCTTCGTAGCTAAATACATTCATAGCCATGATGTGCTGGAACACCTGAGTGTCCAACGAGACTGAGCGGTGAGCAGTTGTTGCCACCTTCGGGGGCTGGTGCCGGCGGTGCCGCTGGTCTGACTGAGCTGCATCGCTGCACCCTGACTTGGCGAGAGTCATGGAGTTTTTCAGCCCCAAACTTTGTGTGATTCTCACTGACCGCAACAATCCCAAATGTAGGCTTAGATAGTACAGAGATGGGAATTGAATGCGACTCAGTGAAAAAAAAAAACAAGAGACAAAGATCAAGCCGCGAAGCGGCAATGCCGCGGAGCGGCCCGAGGACTCGTTGCCATGCGCACGCAGTGGCCCCAAAACCAAGTACATGTGCAGGGACACAGAATAAGGTTGGAAGTCTGTAAAATTCAGCGGGAAATTATTGAAGACTGGGGGAATAAAAAGGTCTGCAAGAAATGCGCGATGGGCCGATGGCGGATGCGGGGAATCGAACCCCGTTCAACTGCTTCAATATCTCTGGGTGGATTATCCGGTATTGAGAGCAACTGTGCACCACACACCACATCCACCTGCCTCCTCTTATGCCTTGACCCGGTAAGTGTACAGTTCATTCACGGCCTTCCCATTGGAATAAACCGATCGTTTGGATCGAGTTCACATTGCAGTTGCGCTGAACCAGTGCCAAGCTTTATTTATATTGGTCAGTCCGGAATCGTCCGGAATCCCGGTAAGTAGTTTGCGTTGTCATTGGTACTGCTGCCAAAGCACGATTAATCAGTGCGGCTAAGTATAAAAAGAGAAAGAGGCGCAATTTATGCGGACTCGGGGAGTCGAACCCCGTCAAACTGCTTCATTTCTTCTCTGGAGCCAGGAGAATGCCGATGAGCCGCCGTCGTGCACCACGCACCACATCCGATTTCTACATCCTTTCCTCGGTGCAGTAAGTGCTCAACATTTTTCAGCCTACGGTACTGAAATCCGGCATCTTTTTGACTCGCATGAGTTGGTTTTGAAAAGAAAAAATCACGTGTGGGTGTCTCTGTTTCCTTTTGCCCTGGTGCTCCGAAGTGGGAGAAAAATTCAACGAAGGTGGAAAAAAATCTATCCCGCGCAATTCGCCTATGCGCGGAATCGAAACCCTTCACTGCTTCTCACCATCATCTCGTATCTGGTGCAGCTGTGCGCCACGCACTACATCCGCTTGCTACACTCATTTCCTCACCGCATCAAGTGCTCAAGATTTTTCCAACCTACCGTGTTGAAATTTAGCACTTGCTTTCTTTTTGACTCGCGTGATCAGAGTCCGTTTCACAAAAAATAATGTGGGGTATTCAAGTTGGAGCTAGACCACTCCTGCGGAGCAGGAAGCATATTCCACCAAGGAGCCAGGATAATAATAATAAAACGCCATACCTTTCGAGGTATGCGGACGCGGGGAATCGAACCCCGTCCAACTGCTCCATTCTCATATAACCAACCGCGAATTGGATGCAGCTGTTCACCGCGAACCACATCCGCTTCTGTCTAGAGTACCGCAGCCATTAAACCGGATGCGGGGAATCGAACCCCTTCACTGCTTCTCATGGGATCTGGTGCAGCTGTGTGTCACGCACTACATCTGCTTGCCACGCCCATGCACTCGGTGCATCAAGTGGTCAAGATTTTTCAACTTACCACATTACAGTTATATATTGGTTCTGGGTACTTTCTTTCTTTCTTTTCAACTCGCGTGAGTTCGTCTCACAAAGATATAACATGCCGGGTATTCAAGTCAGAGCTACCCCAATGGTGATACGACATAGCACGGATGTGGTTATATTCACTTGAGTACATATGCATTGCCCAACACATATGGGATAGTGGGATAGTTTTGTTTCCAGTAGTCTATTTGGGGTTGAGTCTGTCATCCAAATCCACGATCAAAGTTGTTCATACCTTCATCCCCTGCCTTTGAAAAGGGCCGTGATTAACGGCTGTCCCATGTTTCAAGAAGGCCCTTATTCCAAATCTTGCTGTAAGGCTTCGAGCAAAAAAGGTAATGTGGGAATTAATGAAGGTGATGGAAGGTCTTACAATCTGGACAGGGAAAGGAGGTGGGGATGAGTGAAGTTAGGGGTAAAGAAGGAGGGAAAAGCACGAACTCCCTAGAGACGAGAAGGCAAGAAAAAGTGAGTAAGACAAACATGGGCAATGGGGGAAAAGTATGCACGTCCTAGAGACAAGAAGGCGAGAAAGGTGAGCAAGACAGACATGGGCAATAGGGGTAAAGCACACACTTCCTGAAGACGAGAAGGGAAGAAAAAGTGAGCAAGACAAACATCATGGATGGGGGAAAGCACGGACAAGCTAGAGACGAGAAGGCAAAAAAAGTGAGCAAGACAAACATGGGGATGGAAGAAAAGCACACACTCTCTAGAGACGAGAAGGCGAGAAAAAGTGAGCATGACAAACATGGGTGATGGGAGAAAAGCACACACTCTCTAGAGACGAGAAGGCGAGAAAAAGTGAGCATGACAAATATGGGTGATGGGAGAAAAGCACACACTCTCTAGAGACAAGGAGGCGAGAAAAGTGTGCAAGACAAACAAGGGGGATGGGGGAAAAGCACGCACTCTCTAGAGAATAAGTGAGCAGGACAAACATGGGTGATGGGGGAAAGCACACACAAGCTAGAGACCAGAAGGCGAGGAAAAGTGAGCAAGACAAACATGGGTGATGGGGGAAAACCACGCACTTCCTAGAGACAAGAAGGGAAGAACAAGTGAGCAAGACAAAAATGGGTGATGGGGGAAAAGCACGCACTCTCTAGAGACAAGAAGAAAGCAAGAAAAAGTGAGCAAGACAAACATGGGTGATGGGGGAAAGCACGCACGATCTAGAGACAAGGCAAGAAAAAGTGAGCAAGACAAACATGGGTGATGGGGGAAGAGCACGCACAAGCTAGAGATGAGAAGGTGAGAAAAAGTGAGCAAGACAAACATGGGTGATGGGTGAAAAGCACGCACTCTCTAGAGATGAGAAGGTGAAAAAGTGAGCAAGGCAAACATGGGCGATGGGAGAAAAGCACACACAAACTAGAGGCGAAAAGACAAGAAAAAGTGAGTGAGGCAAACATGAGCGATGGGAGAAAAGCACACACTCCCTAAAAATGAGAAGATGAGAAAAAGTGAGCAAGGCAAACAAGGGCGATGGGGGAAAAGCACACACCGACTAGAGACGAGAAGGCAAGAAAAAGTGAGCAAGACCAACACGGGGGATGGGGGAAAGCATGCACTATCTAGAGAAAAAGTGAGCAGGACAAACACGGGTGATGGGGGAAAACCACGCACTTCCTAGAGACGAGAAGGCGAGAAAAAGTGAGCAAGATAGACATGGGTGATGGGGAAAAACCACGCACTCTCTAGAGACAAGAAAGCGAGACAAAGTGAGCAAGACATAGCTGGGCGATGGGAGAAAAGCACGCACTTCCTAGAGACGAGAAGGTGAGAAAAAGTGAACAAGACAAACATGGGTGATGGGGGAAAAGCACACACGAGCTAGAGACAAGAAGGCAAGAAAAGTGAGCAAGACAAACATGGGTGATGGGGGAAAAGCACATACAAGCTAGAGACGAGAAGGTGAGAAAAAGTGAGCAAGACAAACATGGGTGATGGGGGAAAAGCACACACTTCCTATGAACCAGCAGAATTACCTCTGATTAGTGAACCCATACCCTTCATATTGGCCTGCCACACACTTTCGCTTTTCTCAATATCTTTGAAATTCTTTGGATCTTGTCTTTATTGGCATCTTGCTGCAAAACCATCATTCTTCTCCCTCTCTCCCCACATTTTGATCTCACCTTCAATAGCCCCCACCCCACTTTTAATATTTTTGACATTCCTTGCCTCTTGTCTTTATTGGCATGTTGCTGCAAAATCATCACTCTTCTCCCTCTCTCCCCATATTTTGATCTCACCTTCAATAGCCCCCACCCTACAGCGGCCACAGCTACAAAGAGATCCATCAACTTTGTTCTTGCCCAGACATCAACAATTGCCTCCTCCATCATGTGTTGAAACAGGTGCCACATCCTCTCATCCTCATATGTCACACCTCCTTCCACCGCTTTTCGTAAGTGTTTATACCAGTGCTGAACAGAATACCGCAGGACAACATCAGACTGGCTCCCTGCCTGGACAATGACCTCCAAACAGCTTCTTGCTGTTATAAAGTGTGCATGGCCCATGGGGATACGGAATTCTTCCGGTGGGTGCCCATCCGTAATATAATCACGAAAAGATTTGTGCATTTGCGGTGTTGCTTCCTCAAATGATGTGGTTGTGCCTGGAATCAAGACACTGCGAAACCGCTGTAAGAACTTGGCGACGTCGAAGTTGTCCTCTGGAATATCGGCCAACAAAGCAATGATTTGACGAATGGTCAATGGCGCCTCAAGCACAAGAATGGTCCCAATAACATGCTGAAAGCCACGTAGTTGACTCGCACGCTGGTCTGCATCTTGCGCTAAACCACCTATGTTCTCGAACGATGTCAAAATGAGCCTGTATAGATCTTCCAGCTGACCAATACCCATTTGGGTAAATTTTCAAAGACCTGTTGTCGAGAGGCTGTGCCGTACTGGGAGATCTCCCCCTCGATCCACTGAAGAGCAGTTGCAGCATAGTGGAAGAGACCATCTGCCTTGTTGCATAGGTTCTGCAATTCCTCCAGAGGTGGCCAATTCTCCCAGCCAACCTGCTTTGGTGTAATCTCCTTCATCCTTGTAGTGATGAAGTTGTTAACTTCCTCCCATGATGATTCTGTCTTCAGGGGGTGCTGTTTGAACACTCTGAGCTCGAGAGTTTTAGACCTGGAGATGTCGGCCCAATGCTCTGGTCGAGAAGTAACAAGGAATCGAACATTCTGGGGAAGGTCACAGTTCTTTGGTGCAATTGATTCCAGGATCTCTAGTACGCTCTTGGAGGCATTCTCGAGCTCATCCAGAGCATCAATGAGGATGATGACTGCATTGCGAGATTTGGAGAGTTCCTGGATTGGAGCTAATAGAAGTTCCTCTACTTGCTTTTTCCTACTAGGAGGGAAGCCACGCTCCAACACATCATGAATAATGCCAGCAGCAGCTGGAGAGAATTCGGCGAGCTGCAGCGCAATAGTGGGAATGATTTTGCCTGGATCGATTGTTTCGGGGATGTTACGAGAGATGAAGAACTGAGCTGTGACAGGTGTATGAGGCTTTTGCCGAAGATTGTCGACAAGAGTTGAAGAGAGTGTTGATTTGCCACTGCCTGCTATACCAGTGACCCAGAAGATATGTTCGCGGTTGGAAGCCTCTGGTGATAGCCACCGCATGATGTCTGCTTGGATTTTTACACGAGTACCATCTGCACAAAGACTCTTGCTCTGATCTGTGAATTTATGCTGTGCTGCAACATGGCCGGTGAGCTTCTCCTTGATGGCTTGCAATTCTTTGAATTGGTTCATCAGCTTCACAATTTTTTACAAGCCATAGAAGAGCATACGGGTTGCATGAGGATTTGTGAGATTGACATTGCTGTTGCGGATTGTG